TGACTATGCAAAAGCAAAGGACAGTGTCGATCATAACAAATTATGGGTAACATTGCAAAGATGGGGAATTCTCGAACAGTTAATTGTGCTCATGAGGAACCTGCACACAGACCAAGGGGCTCTTGAACAAAACAAGGGGACACTGCATGATTTAAAATCAGGAAGGGTGTGGGTCAGGGTTGTATCCTTTCACCATCCTTATTCAATCTGTATGCTGAGCAAATAATCCAAGATGCTGGACTATATGAAGAAGAATGTGGCATCAAGATTGGAGGAAGACTTATTGACAACCTGTGATATTCCAATAATACACCTTCTTGCTGAAAGTAAAGATGACTTAAAGCACTTATTGATGGAGATCAAAGACTACAGTCTTCATTCTTAACATAAAGAAAACAAAAATCCTCACAACTGGACCAATGAGCAGCATAATGATAAATGGAGAAAAGACTGATGTTGTGAGGGACTTCATTTCACTTGGATCTGCAATGAACACTAATGGAAGCAGCAGTCAAGAATCAGATGTCATATCGCTCTGGGCAAATCTGCTGCAAAAGACCTCTTTAAAGTGTTAAGGACAAAGATGTCACTTTGAAGACTAAGTTGCACCTAACTCAAGCCATGGCATTTTCAATCACCTCATATGCATGTGAAAGCTGGACAATGTATAAGGAAGACTGAAGAAGAGATGATGGCTTTGAATTATGGTTTGATGAAAAATACTGAAAATACCAGCGACTGCCAGAAGGAACAAATCTGTCCTGGAAGAAGTGTAGGCACAATGCTCCTTGGAAGTGAGAATGGCCAGACTTTGTATCCCCTACTTTGGTCGTGTTGTCAGAGGGACAATTTCCTACAGAAGTATCTTATGTTTGGTAAAGGGTCAGTGAAATAGGGGAAGACCCTCAACAAGATGGATTGAGACAGTGGCTGCAACAATGGGCTTAAGGAGAGGAAGGATGATGAGGATGGTGCAGGACTGGGCAGCGCCTTGGTCTGTGTGCATAGCATCACTGTGCATTGGAGCCAACTCGACGGCACCTAACAAAAATAACACTACAAGTTTCATTAATAATAATAAATATATATAAACTTCTCAGCACCAAAGCAGTACATAATAAATGGTAATTATCAGTTATTATTTGTGACAATCACTTCTCTTTTCTGCACAAATATGTCTCACTCATATGACATAGCTTTATTAACTTCCCTCTAACCTGTTTTAAGAGAAGTCCTGATGGTACAGTGTTTAAAGTGTGCAACTGTTAACCAAAAATATTCAGAGTTCTGAACTCACCAGCTGCTCCATGGGAGAAGGATGTGGCAGTCTGCTGCCCTAACATTATAGCCTTGGAAACCTTATGGGGCAATTCTACTCTATCCTATAGGGTTGCTGTAAGTCAGCCCTGACTCAAAGGCAATGGGTAAAACCTGTTGCATATTTCAACATATTTCAAATACTCAGACCACAAACTTCTAAGTGACCTTTGACTCCTACTTCACTCCCTGCTTTCCTTCATAGCCTACTCATCTCATACACCAGTCAATACACCCTTGGATATTATGGCCCATGGATCGTGCCTCAAACTCCTCTAGAATGAGTGGGCCTCCTTGGTTAAGGTCCTCATTTAATTTGCATTCCTGCTTCTCCATTTACCAGAGTATGAGGAGTTGGGCAAGGTACATCACCTTTCCCTGCCTCAGTTTCCTCCTCTCCAAAATGGAGATTATAACAGCACTTACTCCATAGGGGCTGTTGTTGTTATGTTGTTGGTGCTGTTGTTTGCCATCGAGTCGGCCCCGACTCATAGCGACCCCTCCTTGGGTTTCCGAGGCAGTATCACTACGGAAGTAGGAATGCCCAACCTTCCTTCCGAGGAGTGGCTGGTGGGTTTGAACTGCCAGCCTTCTGGTTAGCAGTCAAGTGCCTTAGCCACTATGCTACCAGTTGTTGTTGTTATAGGGACTAGTAATTTTCTAAAGACTAAGTGAGTTTATAAACGGAATATACTTAGAATAGTACTGTTGTTGTTATGTGCCATCGAGTTGGACCTGACTCATAGCAACCCCTTCTTGGGTTGCTGAGGCCGTATCACTACGGAAGTAGATTGCCCAACCTTCCTTCCAAGGAGTGGCTGGTGGGTTTGAACCACCAGCCTTCTGGTTAGCAGTCAAGTGCCTTAGGCACTATGCTACCAGAGCTGCTTAGAATAGTACTACACATAGTAAACACATGGTAAGTATATGTTTATGTTAAATAATAAGTCATTATTTACTTAACTCCACATTTCCTAAGGATAGGAAATGGTTATCCGGAGCTCTCCAATAGAATGTTGACTGTGTCTATCTAGATCTGAGGAATATCTGAATTGGACACACTGATTTGCAAATCAATTGCATAAAGGAGACACATTTTCTAATGACTCGAGACAAAAAAAGACCAGTTACTATCACCAAGTTCTCCATTCAATGTGAGAGTAAGAATGATCTTGTTTGAGTTTGAAGGTAGACAAAGAACAAAATGGTCTTAAGGACAATGAATATTTTACATGCAGACAAAATTGATGTACTGTATTTTAGGGCACTGGAATATAAGCTCAAGTTCAACACACATCATTTTAATTGTGCTTTTCCAAGGCCGAAGTAATTGAAGAATACTTTAAATTGGACACTCAGAGTTAACAAAGAAAATGATAAGGCTGCTATTTAAGGCAGATGAAAAATACTGCTGTCTCTAATTGGCAGTGCCTGGGCGATGCTACCCACACACCTACGGGCATTTCCCAGAAACACACAAGTCTTTCATGTTGGAAAACAGACAAGAAAAAATACTTTACAAAGAAGATCCAGAGGGCAGTCTTATCTGTGTGTGGGTCCTAGCTGTGGCATTCATTCATGCTGTAATTTTGCACATGTTTCTTAATCTCTAAACTACAGTCTTCTCATATAAAAAAGTATTAACACCTGCCCTCAGTATTTTCTTGTGAGAATTAAATTATACACTGTTTGACCAGCCCTTAGGCTAATGTCTAACACCTCTTAGTCACTTATTAAATGAACACAGTTTTCATTGTGCTCATACTGGTTTAAAAGGACCTATTAGCAACTGCAACTGCCCATGACTTCCACCAGGACTGCTATGCCAAATGTCTTCTCTTGTTACAGGGTATGGTGGGGATCATCTTTTGTATAGTGGCACCATTTTTTTATCTCTCCACAATCTAATTTATTTTTTTACTTAAAAAATGCTCACTGTCACTCACAAAAGCATACAAACACACTCATGCACTGTCACACTCCCAGGAGACCAAATACAGCTTACCACTTGGTACATCAGGAAGAGGAGAAAGAGTCATGAAAACTAAATGTCAAGCTAGCCACCCAAGACACACAAGAAGGGCTTGAATGCCATTCCCTGAGCAGTGAGTTTCCACATACACCTTATTAAGCAGTGTTTATGACACTGGCTCAGTCTAACTAATCCCAGTTGTATGTGAGGAGCCAAGAGTTAGAGGGAATGCTATAGGACCTTAATTAGTGGGATCTCAAGGTCCAACCAGGGAAAAAGCAAAACTTAATACAGTAAATCCAGTTATAGCTTCAGTTTACAGTAAAAAGCTGCATGAGAGAAAGAATCAAGGGGTAATATTATCTAAATAGATGTGTAATATTTAATATTGAATCCAAATTTAAAAAGAAACCAAATGCAATTACTTTATCTGATCATTCCCTGGAAATAATAATAATAAAAATACACTGAGGTAATAATTGAATGCATCAGTCACTAGTAGATATTTTTTTTTCAATTGCTTTCAACCTGGTAGAAAAATAATGGCATATGTCAACCTCTATAAATGTAACTGTGATTAAAATACATAATCAAATTAGTGGTGCTGATGGGGTGTAGTTTTCATTTAAGCAGAACACCTTGCTGTAGACTGATGAAATTTTTCTTCATGAAAAATAATTAAGCCACCTGATGAATAACTTCATCATGAAATCTGAATATGCCAATAATACCTACCACTCAAGTTGTACTCAGCTTACAGAAAGAGACCCCATGACTGACTGCGAAACTCCTAACTATGCTAATTTTGAAGCCATTCTTCCTCATCTAGAGAATTCAAGTGCAAAGAAATCAGAGGGAATGGGTGAGAGGAAGAGAGAGTGAGAGAAATCAGAAACCCTTACCCAAGGACTGGGTTGGATGTTTCCATTTTTTGGAGGATTTTTAAAGTTCTCTTATAGAACATCAATTCTAAGATGAGCTATAAATCTAATTACCAAATTAAAAAATAATCAGGGAAAATTACGATTAAATATGTTAATATTCCTATTGTTGTTGTTGTGTGCCTTTGAGTCGGACCAACTCACAGCGACCCCTCCTTGGGTTTCCAAGGCAGTATCACTATGGAAGTAGATTGCCCAACCTTCCTTCTGAGGAGTGGCTGCTGGGTTTGAACCGCCAGATTTCTGGGTAGCAGTCAAGTGCCTTATGCACTATGTTTGCATTGCTGAAACTTGATCTTTTAAAATTTAGAAATAATTTAAGAAGGCGATATTAAATCTTTTCTCAAAAAAGGGAGAATATAAGACCATAATTTCTAAAATAAGTGTATCATAAAAACAATATAAAAAGTTGTCTCAGGTTCATCACCTGTGTAGAATAGTCTAAAGTAAACAGGGAGGACATATATATATTTTTTTAATCTAGGGAAAAAAAAAAAAGATTTTAAACACAAACCATGTATCTTCATTTTTTTTTTTAAGATGAAACTCATATTATTTTTTCTTTGTTATACTTTATATATTCCACCACAAACTGTGGTCACACATGAAGTTCATGTTGTTCTGTGAGACAAAACAACACCTAGGGGAATATTCAGATATGATCTCTAAGGGACACTGCAAAGGAAGAGAAGAGATGGAAGTCATGCTCCGTGGTTATCTGTGCAGGTGGTGTGAGCACCAACAACTCCATCACTGGAAGGGGTACCTACCCAGTAATGTCAAGACACAGGCCAGGATGGCAAGCAGGGCTCCGGTGCTAAGGCCAGCGGGCAGGACATAGGCCTCTGCATTGCACGTCTGGGCGATGCCATCCGCATCACAGTCACACACCCGGATGGTGAGGGTGTTGGTGCTGCTAAGGGAAGGTGAGCCACTGTCCACGATGAAGATCGGCAGGTAGTAAACGGATTGCTCCTGTCTCCGGAAGCCATTTCTCCGGGTAAGTACCGAGGCTGTGTTGTCTACAATAAAGAAAGCAACAGGATCCAAGTGTTCTGACGGAATCAGTGCTTCCAAACTTTATTTCACTGTTTACTTTGGTTTCTAAATTAAGGGAAGCCTGGTGATGTGGATCTTTGCATTCAACTATTCTGTTTGAGTGTCTTTAGATGAAGAGATGTACTTCCAAACACTGGTTACATTGACTACCTTTGAAGGTATTTATGCTATTCCACACACTGAGTAGCAACCCCAAAAATAGTTATAAGGTGAAACTGGAAATGAAAATATTCATGTTTACTCATGTTAAGGGAAACTTTAAAAAAATACATACACCACGAAGCAAATCACTACCATTGAGTCTATTCCGACTCATAGTGACCATAGAGGACAGGGTAGAACTGTCCCATCGGGTTTCCAAGGCTATAAATCTTCACAGGAGCAGAACGCCTCATCTCTCCCCTACAGAGTGGCTGGTGGGTTCAGACTGCTGATACCTTCAGCACTGTGCCACCAGAGCTCCAAAGGGACACACAATGTCACCCTCTTGCCTATCTAAAATTCCAAACCATACAGTTACAGAAAGGATAATAGAAACTAACAAGTTAAATATTTTTGCAGCATCATTAGATTACATAAATGGAACATTTCAATCCACCTTTCTTTGACAGGTTCCAAGGTCAATATAGAAACAAGTAAAATAAGTTATTCTAACTTTATTTAATTTAGAATGCATAGATACTCAAGAGATAGTTTCATTTAAAAAAATCCATATTGGTATATATTGTTATCAAAACCCTGTGTAATCATTTTGTGAGTGAAAAACAGCTAATTTTTGTTTAATTTATATTCAATATTCTACTTACTCTTATTATCAATTATAGTAATCATGAAAACACTAATAATGATCCATAAATCTATATGCTATATCTGTGATTTCTACAGCGGAAAAAATAGTTTTAATTTTTTCTTTTGCTAGCAATTTCTCCAGCTAATTTATTTTAATTAACTGATTAGATAATTTATGTCATTAGTGTTAGCTGTCATCCAGTCTCTTCCAATTCCTGGTGACCTTATTGGCAACAGGATGAAATTCTGCCAGGTCCTGTCATCTGCACAATCGCCACCAGGTTCAAGGACATCGTTCTGACCACTCCGCCAGTCCCTCTCACCCAGGTTGTCCACTCCCTCATTGGTCCTCTGTTTCACCAAATGCGAGGTCCTCCTCCCGGGATTGCTTCCTAATGAGGTATCCAAGTCACATGAGTCAGACAACGTTTTGTTGTGGTCCACAAGGGTCTCATTCGCTAATTTTTGGAAACAGATTTCCAGGCCACTCTTCCTAGTCTGCCTTAGTTCTGCAGCTCCACTGAAACTTGTGCACTATGGTGACCCTGCTAATATCTGAAATGCCAGGGGCATTACATCCAGGATCACAGCCACATGCAAGCCTCCCGTATGACAAAGGACAGACATGTGGTGGAGATAATTGACACTCACTGCCATCAAGTCGATTTCAACTTATAGTAACCCTACAGGACAGAACAGACTGTCCAGGGAGTTTCCAAGGATGTAAATAGATTGCCTGATCTTTCTCCTACAAAGCAACTGGCGGGTTCGAACCACTGAACTTTTGATTAGCAGCCAAATGCTTTAACGGCTACATCACCCTTAAAGTAACTTGACTTAATGAAAATATAAAGGAAAACCTCGGAGGCCATATTGCTTGCTTTAATATATATATGTTTCTCTCCAAAACTGTCAAGATGTTAACCAATGCCAGCAAGAAAGAGATACTTTAATTAAAAACAAATCTATAATCTGTTCTGTCTTAAACAAAAGCAAAAACAGTGATTTCATTTGAAGCTGTAAGACAATGCATGATTGTGATTCTAGATGGGCTTAGAATAAAACTACTTGATTTTCAGATTCCATTTCATTGAGTGTTAATTAAAAAAAAGAAACTTATTTGGAAATATATGAATCTGAGAAAGTACTCACCAAAAAACACTATTTAAGGACATTGTTTTGAGTATGTTCCTACACACTTAACCATACAAACACATATACTTACAAGTCAGGTGTTATATGGTTTTATGATTTTATACAAAAAGTTTCATAAAGTTGTTTGTAATCTAGAATTCTTCAGATCAAAATGACAACAACAAAGAAAGAAACTGAGACAAGCGTGCTGAAATGCACAGCATGTAAGAAAGGCCCTCAGTCTGGGAAAGAGACGTACCCCTCACCACGCTTTGTATGTGCTTTCTGAGATGGAAACCAATGTAAGAACTGACTCTTTATATGCACACAGCCTCCTTCAAGGCAGAGGCAAAGGCGCTCTGGGCTTAATTTGGGGAATCCTTTTAAACGTGTGGCAGCAGAGGATATCCTGTTGGTGCATAGGTACCACCAAGCATAGTGGTATTGCATGATGGCTTGTGGGGGGAGGGATATCCACACTCTTATTGTGGAGGACAAAGCCTCCCTCTCTGCATTGAGCTGGCTGAACCCACATGCTGAGATTAGGCCTTTCCCACTGTAATTAAGTTGGAGAGCTGGGACTATCCACAGAGAGAACACTCTTCCTTTCATATTGTTCAAAGAATAAGACAGTGTCCCCACAAAGTGGAGAACAGGATCAGGAACAATTACTTTCAAATTGAATTTTTGAGACCAAAGTTGGATTTCCTGGAATAGAGAAGGTGCTGGACTCAGTCAAAATGTAATGTTGCACCTTCTTTGAGTCAGGTATTTTAGGTAAGTCAGTATTTGACTGTTACCATTGTTAGGTGATGTCAAGTCAACTCTGACTTGACTAGCGAATCTATTTCTACATTTTTTCCCTTAGAGTTGCTCCATACATGCAACCTGAATGGAAGAAAGGATTAGATTTTCTGCATTGTTTGGAAGCAATAGTCTCACTTTGCATCAGCTGTACATTTTTTCATTCTGTTAAAAGAAATACCTTAAATGAAAAATTACGTGAATAAATAAATTTGAAATTAGAGAAGATAGCAGGTTTTCATGCTTCCTTTAAAGGTTCCTACAATCATTAATGTGTTTTATTAGTCAAAAAGAGAATCCACTTTTGGGTATTTGTAAGAATATTTCTAGAAGGACAATTAGGAAACTGATAACAGTGGTTATCTTTGAAGCAGAGAAATGGTAACTGGGATGAGATGGAATCATTTGGTTGTTTTACATTTTAAATTTCTTTGCAATTTGAGTGCATTTTGGCATTTGCACAAATTACTTTTACTTTCACTATAACTTACGTTTCATTGAAAATATTAAGTATATTTAGGTTGAAACATAGAAAGGTGAATCATCTTCCTAATTTCTCAGGTGACACCTGTGTAGCGTAATCCTTATGAAAGCATGGCCATCAACGAATCAGCTAATTTGGGTAGAGGGCCTGCTGTACACACAGGAAAGTCAAGTGTCTAGAAGAAAAGAGGGAGAGAGATGGATCTGACTTCCCCTCCATTTGGCTTTAGGCCTAAAATGATTTAAATCGTAGCTGCTTCTTCATGACAGCAAATCCATACATAAAAATTACTTCAGGGCCTTATTGTCCTTTAATTAATGTCCTAGCTAGTTACCGAAAAGAAAAGAAAAAAAGTCCCTAATCAGCATTCCTGAGAAAGAAAAGCCCTCACTTCAAGTATGTACCTGCTGCCCCACAGGTGACAATGGAGATACTTCACCTTTGTTATCTTTCAGTGAAAAGTTGTGGTTGTTTGTTGCATCAGTCGTTAAGCTGAAGTAGAACTGGTGTCCATTGGACGGCTCATCTCTATCCACCGCACTGATTTTCTGGATAACCTAGGTACAGAGGAGGGAAGGCTTGAGCACACGTGGGATACCTGGCTATGTTCCCTGTGGCAAGAGCAAGCAATTTCACATCTTACAAGAATTGCCAACTTCCAGACTGAGCTGGTGGAAGCAAGAAGGATGACACTCATACGGACAATAATGTGAAGCCAATCAAGAAAGACCTAGGAAAAACAAAGTGAGTCCTTTTCAAAACTCACATTTGATTTTAGTTTTGAGAACTTTGGGAATCAAGTGCACCAGGTGACTAAACCAGGTGAGTAAACCTCACAGGACACAGAACAATAGAGATGAGTGGAACAAAACTAATGGAGACTGGGCTCTCCTCAGAATCTCAAAACAGCGCAACCCTGCTGTGTAATATGGGGAAGTGCCCAATAAAGCCTGGTGGACTGTACTTCTTAAAGGAGTCTGAACCCTTCCCCACCTAACTGGGCTTTCAAATGTTCGCTTACACTTACTGAGCAACTTCCAGCATCCCAATTAAACCAGATTTTGAAAGTTCCATTAATATTAGTTTCTGCTCCATCTCAAAATGTTCGTTTTGTTCAAAGCTGATGACAGTTTATTATCTAGCTGGCAGAATTTTAAAGACAACTTCTGCTGGATATTTTTAAAGCCATTGCAGACAAGCTGTGAGGTGTTCTGAGGACTCTTACCTGGCCTGGCTGGGCATTTTCACACACGGTGGTCTCATAATCCATGGCAAACTCAGGGGCATTGTCATTGATGTCGAGTATGGTGATGGCCACATAGCCTCTCCCTACTTGAGATGGGTTCTCTAACAAAGATGAAAATGTCTTAGCATTTACTCTGATAGTAAAGTCATTATTCTACAGCCATTTAAAAAAAAACAAAAACAAACAAAAAAAAAGCCCTTCCATTAAAAATTATTAGAATCAAGCAAAAATATTTGTCACCCTCAAGCTCTCAAGCACAGTTCTAGCAAATGAAATGATCAAGCCTCAAATGAAATTTGAAAGCAAACCATTATAGACTTGAAAGGGGGCTACAGGTAATCTGATCTAAGAATTTTTTATATACGGGGAATAAGAGTGTATTTTCACACACACACATATGTATGTACACATATGTATTTGTGTATGTATATTTAGAAAATTATTGAACAGAATGACCAGTGAACAGACGTATTGTTATATTCTTTGATGACGGGGCTTATATTTTTTGAATACACATTTATATTATGTACCTATGGCACCTAACAACAACATACTATGCATATGTAAAATTTACATATATCATATACATAGATGCATATGATTATGCATTCTCTTCCAATGATTTTCTTATCGGAAACTGAATTAACAGTGTCTGAAGTAACAGACACTGCAAACCTGGGTATTTTGGCTAGATATCATGTTACTGATTTTTTAAATAAAGCAAATTCAGCCATTCCATGCCAGCACAAATGCTACCCATGAAAGACCACTGGAAGGCAGTAAGAAGCTCTCTGAGACAGCTCGGGCTGTTACTCCACAGCTTCTCTTGTCTGACATTTTGTAAACAGAAACAAACCACAGAAGCAGACACAGCTAGTGGACATAACTAGGTTCCACAGCTTGAAAATTAGGGATTCAATTCAAATAGCCAACTGTTAGGATTCGAGTTTCTACCCTTAGGACAACCTGTCCTGTACTCCCAACGTCTTTGTCCTGATTTAATTTTAAACCTTACAACTTACGGCTCTCCATCGCGAGGACTGTGATGTTATGAACAGCACTGGTCTCTCGATCCAGAGATTTGGCAGTTGTAATAACTCCGCTGTTGGCGTCGATATTAAAATATCTCTCCAAGTCTGTGTTTCTGTCAATTGAATACCTAATTGAACATTTAAATTAAAAAAAAGCTTTAATATTCAAGTTTGATTACAGTTTGCCAAACTTAGTTCATTAATTGCATAGGCAATCATGAAATCCTATGATCTGCCATTTTAGGAACACAAATAAATGCAGGTTAAGAATGTTGCCCATGTGATAGTGGGTTAATTACCAGCTTGTCAGTAACCTAGCCATAATATAGATATCTTGACCATGGCTTTGAATATGCCACCATAAACTTCAAATACTTTGACTCCTGAAAACAATTTACAACACAACTAGTGGCCCTGGCCATGGGTAAAAAAAAAAAAAAAAAAAAAAAACTCACTGCCATAGATTTGATCCTGACTCATAGTGATCCCTTGTTAGGTTTACAAGGCAGTAGCTCTATGGAAGTAGGTTGCCCAACTTTCCTTCCAAGGAGTGGCTGGTGGGTTTGAACCACTAGCCTTCTGGTTAGCAATCAAATACCTTAGGCACTGTGCCACCAGAGCTCCCACGGGTATAGGTCCTTCTAAAATTACACCTATGTAGACATCTTGCCCACTGGTGTCAACGTCTTTTGTCTTGATTCTTGATGAGACAAGCCTGATACACAATCCCTTTTTTATACTGTATCACTCAGGGGTCTTGACTTGGGTTTCATGGATCTGCTTCAAAACAGAACCCCTAAAAATCCATGAATATTTTGGTGTGTAAAAGCCTTATCTCCAAGTACCTATGATCTAAAGTTTAGGGAAGATTAACACATTATATGTATTTGTATTCCATGTTACTGTTCATTCCATTCACCAAGTCTACCTTTACCTTATTAATGAACATCTTCAAATCCCCCTCACAGTCTTCCCAGTTGTGTGAGAAAAGACTTCTCATTTTAAAATAATTAAACAAATGGAGAAACACATACACATTTTATGTTGAAGAATTATTTTATATTTACATAGTAGTTCTCCAACTAATATTGTTAAAAGGAATCATCAACTGTTGATACTGTGTAGTGAAATATGAGAAACCTAAAAGAAAGACAAAATATCAGAAAACAAGTAACCACACACCAACAAATACTGTTGTCTCTGTGCAGCAATACATGTTTCAATGTAGAGACAATGAGGACATTATTGTCCTGTGGCTTCTATCTTCTCGATGACATGTGAGGACACATCATTGGCTGAGAGAACAGAGGGGAGACTAAGTGGTTTGAGGAAAAGGAGAGACAAGTGATTTTTTTTTTTTTATAGAATGGACAAAAATAAATAAGCTAGGAATAGCTAAGCAGTGAGGATGGTCCATTTGAGGAGCATAGTCATTAATTTAATGTGAAATCAGTCATCCCATTTGTCTGCTTTGGTCTATTTTCATCCATAGGTTTGAAAGTGAATAAAATGCAGAGGGTTGGATTTCACCTGCAAAGGCAATGAATGAGCAGAGGAGGAGGAAAGGAGTGAATCTACAGCAATGGTAATAATAAAGGGCCATGACATACAACTGGGAAGAGAGAAGTGAGCAAACTAGGAAAGGCAGATTGATATTGAGAAGATCCTGCTAGCATCAAAAGACTGGACGTCTTGATCAGGAGGCAGAATACCTCAGCAGGGAGGTAGTGGACAGAGAATGAGATGCTGGAGTAGGTTTCAGCAATAGAACACGTATGGAAACTGACAAGCCATGAGTCTGTTAATTGGAATTGATGGCTCAATTTGGGCACATCAACAGAACACTGGAGTTAAGAAGGGCAAAAATGTTAGAGAGCAAGGAGTTTGATGGATCAGGGATGAAGCCAAAGCATTTACTAATCCTCATGCCAGGAGGGATGGTGGAAAGGAATAGAACGATCCAAGTACAGCATCAACAATGAATGAGTGTAATTGCAAGGCCCAAGGCAGCAACAGTGAAATCACCCGTTGTATTGCACTGGGCTATCAGCTGCACAAGACCTCTTTAAAGTGTTAAAAAGCAAATACGTCATTTTGAGGATTAAGTTGCACCTGATTTCAATCAACTCAATGCATGTGAAAGCTGGACAATGCATAAGGAAGACCGAAAAAGAACTTATGCCTTTGAATTATAGTGTTGGTAAAGAATATTGAATATACCAGAGATTTCCAGACAAACCTGTCTTGGACGAAGTACAGCTAGAATGCTCTTTAGAAATGAGGACAGCAAGGATGTCCCTGGAGAAGGACATCAGGCTTGGTGAAGGGAAGGATCAGCAAAAAAGAGGAAGATCCTCTTTGGAAGACCAACCCAGTGGTTGCCACATTGGGTTCAAACAAGCAATTATGAGGATGGTGCAGTACCGGTCAATGTTGCATCTTGCTGTACCTAGGATGCTACGAGTTGGAACCAATGTCACAGCACCTAACAATAACAAGTGTATGAGTTACTTCAGAGGGCCATGGGTCACATGCATCTGGGAACAGAGACAGTTTTGTGCTTTTTCTTTTCCAATCCACTCATTTACTTTTCTTGTCTTAGTGTACAGGGAAAGTATTCATTACAATGATGAATACAAACAGTGAAGCAGATGTCCATTTTTTGTTCTTGAATTTAGGTTGAGAGCATTCTATCTTTCACCACTCAGTATAATGTTGGCTTTATGCTTTTATGAGGTTTCCTTTATCAGGATGAAGTTCTCTTCTACGTCTAGTTAGCTGATTTTTTTATCAAGAATGAATGTTTAATTTTGCCAAACACTTTTTCTACATCAATTGATATGATCATGTGGTTATTCTTTAATCTCTTATGATGGTGGATTCTTTTTATTTATTTGTGAATACTGAACAAGTCTTATGTTCCCAGGATAAACCCCATGTGGTTATGATGTATTTTTCTCATAGACATTGTTTGATTCAATTGTTAGTATTTTGTTGAGATTTTTACATATAGCAATAAGAGGTCTTAGAGCTCTGGTGGTGCAATGAGTAAGGCATTTGGCTGCTAACCAGAAGTTCAGCAGTTCAAACCCACCAGCTGCTCTGTGGGAGGAAGATGAGTCAATCTACTTCCATAAAGATTTGCAGCCTTGGAAAACCAACGGGGGTCACTATGAGTTAGAATCAACTTGACAGCAGTGGGTTTGGTTTTTTTGATTATATGGCTTTGGTGCTCAGGATAATGTTGGTCTCTAAAAAGAAGGGGAGATGGGGAGGTATTCTCTCTTCTATTTTTGTAAAAGATTGCATAGAATTGGTGTCAAATATTTGATAGAATTTGCCAGTGAAACAATTTCTTTTTCAGAAAACAAATATAATGTCTTCAAATAGGTATGGGGCTATCCAGGTTATCTATTTCATCTCAGGTGAATTCTGGTAGTTTACATTTTTTGAAGACTAGGTTCATCTCACCTATGTTGCCAATTTCCATAGGTGCCAAATTTCACAGCTCTCAAATTTAGATGAGTAGAGCTGATCACAGTATACCTTTATCATCCTTTTTATGTTTGTAGAGTCTGTAGTAAGATCCACTCTTTTTCTTCTAATAGCTATAATTTGTTTTTCTTCTTCTGTTTTCCTCTGTCAGTCCTTATTGGGGCTTACAGATACGACTGAGCTTTCCAAATAACAAGTTTTAGTTTCATTGAGTTTTTCTTTTTCTTTTTTAGTGTTTTCAAATGCATTCATTTCTACTCTTATCTTTATAATTTTCTTCCTTCAGTTGGCTTTGTGTTTATTTTGCTACCATTTTTTTCCCCAGTTTCTAGCCCATGCCAGGGGATAATGGAGGAAAAAAAAATAACAGTGAACTCATTATAAATTGAAAGAGACTTTAAATATGGTCTTCTTCCCCAAACTGCCTGTTATTTGCTTTTCAAAGTCCTTACAAGGTGCATTTTCTCCAGGGTTTATGACTACTCAGTGTGAGAAGCAGGGGCAGAGGTGCTTACCTAGAATAGAAATATCTATCTATCTATCTATCTATCTATCTATAATTGAGGAACAGGTAATCAGATGATATATATATATATAACCTGGAAAGATCGTGGAGAGGAAGTATTCCATTTCACTAATTAAACAGTTGTGATGGATGATGCAAATTGGTTGAAGCCACCTCTAGCCCACCTTATACGTTATCAATTAATTATATACACTTGTTGAGATCAGAAAAATGCGAAGGAGACAGAGGCCCTCTTCCCCTTCCCTTTTGGCAATCTTGGCTAGCAAACACAGCTGTGCACACACTGGGCAGTCATATTCTTATTCATGGGCTTCTCATTCACATAACCATGGCAGTGGAAGCGATATTCTTGAACCAGCCTAGCTCCTGTGGTGGACAAGGGACCACAGTTCCCGCTGCAGATGATTCATGTGTTGTTCAGAAGTATTTTCTGCAGGTTCAGTCTAGAGCCTCTTCTGTATTTTCAAAGACTTATATCCTCCTTATCATGAGTTGGAATTGACCCGATGGCAATGGTTTCTTTTCTTTGAATTATGAGTATGAACTATTTTCCATATGGAATATCTACAGTGCTTTCATTTTTCTGCTCTCAACTCAGATACAAAGGTCAGAAGTCACTTACAGAAAAACCTGACAAAGAGGTTGTTGTCCTGTTCTGTTCGTTCAGTGCTGACTCACAGTGACCCACAGAACAAAGCAGGGCCTGGTTCTGTACCACCCCACAATTGCTGCTATTTGAGCCCATTGTCTCAGCCACTGTGTCAATCCATGTTGTTGGGAGTTTTTCTATTTTTCATGAACCCTCTACTTTTCTAAGCATAATATCCTTCTCCCAGTAACTGGTCCCTCCTGATAACATGTCCAATGAATGTGAGATAAACTTGTTATCTACCCCAAATTGACTGGGAGATGAACTGGTTTCAAACTTGTAATGTTTTTCCCTTTGAAAATTCAGGGCATGCTCAAGTATATACACCATCACCAGTTCAGTCTCAGTTCAGCTTCTTCACTTCCACTTTTTTGAGACTGTGCATGCAGCCCACAGAAACACCCATTATTGCCAAAAATTTAATTTAAACCTTTGTTAATTTATTGGGAAGCAAAATC